CGGGGGCCGATCGTAACAATGTGTAGAGCTGGTGTAGTTTTCTTTTTACCATAATCGAATTTGCGGAGTAAATGGGGGATGCCGGGATGGCGCGGAGACCCCGTGCACCTCCCTCCGCTCCCCGTCCCCTTGGGAGTCCCATTCCTGCACCCATTACATATCTTCCGCCCCTTTTCCCCCGGGCCGCTCGGCTTCGCTCGGCCTCCGCTCGGCTGCGTTCGTACCACTTTGTCATGGACGGACGAGTGCGGCGTTTCGTTCGTACGTGACAAGCGAGCGGGGTTAATCTCGGTCGGGTGAAGGTTGCTCGGGAAGAGAGTATCTCTGCCAGACGGCAGTCACCGCACTATACGTCGATGTTGCAAAGGCAAAAGAATGATTGTGTGGTACTATTGCAATTGGGCGTATTTGGTATCACTTTGACCTCGAAATGAGACTTTTTTTTTTTTCGCCGAAGTTTTGATCAACTAGAGCGCCACATTGACTCACCCAGCCTCCGGCCCGAGCCACACAAACTACCCCCACCGAGGACTTGGCCGCCCCAGGCTGGGCGTGGCCAGGACGCCGCCGGGGGCCTTACAAATTAAGCAGCTGATTCTACCAGACGCGGCGGCGCTCGTCCTTGAGCAGAGAGAGAGAGAGAGAGGGGGGGGGGAGCAGAGCGGGAGGGAGGAAGAGGAAGAGAGAGGGGCGGGGGGGGGGGACTTGTCCGAATTTCTGGCGCCCGGAATCAATCTCCCATTTTGTGCACAGAGGGACCAAAGTGGATTTATGGCTCCGAGGGCCAATGGAGGAGGGTAAGGGGAGGGGGTGGAAAGAAAGAGAGGGGAGATAGGGCTTTTTAGTCGTCCCCCCTCGTTTAACTAACGTAAAGAACTTTGTGGTTTAAAGCACCATCGTGCGTAATCTTATTCTTTGGACGTGTGGGGGGCATTCGTGGTAACCAACCGGGTCACCTTCGGTGCTAGGCTAGGCTGCACACACACACACTCACAACTCACACACAACATGAATAGAAACCAAACTAACTGTATTCATGGGGACCGCCCATACTTGTCCGGGTATCGACCAACACTAACGTTTTTGGCCCCCCACCAAACCACTGCCTGTCAAATCTGTCCAATCTATGATCCCCTCGAGAGCAGCCCCCGCCTCGCCCGGCCCCCGCCTGCCCAACATGTAACGAAATCGAGTGGATAGAAGGCGGTGATGGCGCACCCGCGGCCCCGGGGGCGCGTCCTGGAGTACAGTGTAGTGTCGAGGGCGTTACCACACCACCGCCAAACCTGTCGTCGCACTGCCTTTGTCCTCTCACTCGCTCTCGCACAACAACGGCACTCTCATTGCCAGCGCCATGCGCCCATACATGCACAACACTCTAAAAACAGAAATGAATACTTGAAAGTGAATGACAAAATGTCACACCAAATAAGAGTTTGTCACATTTTGTCATACGTTTTTAACAGTATTAAAATGTCACACACTTCTATTTGGAGAACAGACTGAAAATGAGGGCAATTGAGACGACTCGCAACCGCATGCGATTGCCAATTACAATCGCAGAGGATCGTGTGCAGGCCGCCCTGACCTCGCGTCGCGTGCCGACAAGTGTGGTTAGGCTGCCGGACGCGCGCGCGCGGGTGCCGCCGTGGAGACCGTCGTGAGCGAGTCCATTGCAATGGGATTAGTGCAAGCCGAGCCCCTGCTCCCCGCGCCGCGCGTGGGCCGAGGCCTTGCTGGCCGAGGCCGGGGGATTATGATGGCGATTATATCTTGGCGTCGTCGTCGTCGTCCCCCTGCTCGCTCTCAGCAGTATATGAGCCGGCTGAGTCGTACTCATCAACGGGACGACCAGCTGAAGACCTTATTGAAAGCGGAGCGGAGGCGTCTGAAGGGGTGGCGCGGCGCAGGGCAGAGCGAGCCCACAGCGAAATTGAAAGGCGGAGTTGTCCGAGAGAAATTATCTGCCCACTTTGGTATCGAATCGACTTGAAGGCTCGAAAATTTTTGCGAACCTAGTTACTATTTTTTTTTTTTACAAGAGAGAGAGAGAGAGAGAGAGAGAGAGAGAGAGAGAGAGAGAGATCTTCTTAGTTTTGTTGGCCTCTTCTAGAAGTTCATTTTTTACAAACTCTTTTCACACTTTTTTTTTGTAAACCTCTGAATTGTGTATAATTCTCCACCGTGATCGTATGTACTTCAAATGCAAGCCTTAGTTGTATATAAATTTCCATTCAAGTATATTTTACAGTGTCTGGTGGAGCAGCTATTGAGCGGCCGGCGCGAGCACGGGTGCGGGCACGGGTGCGGGCGCGGCCACCCTGCCGCCCGGTGGCCACACCGGCCCGTCGCACACGCGCGCCCGGCGGGCCGGCCTACCCGCCAGGCTGCCGGGCGCGCTCGGCCAGCCAGCCGTGAGCGTGAGCGCGCCGCCGTGTATGATATCTCTGGCGAGCGAAGCGGGGCAGAGCGGGGCAGAGGCCCACAGCCGCGGGCCGTGCGGCGTGTGTGTCGTGCTATTGTGTGTGTGTGTGTGTGTGTGTGTGTGTGCGTGTTTTTTACACGAAAGGAAGGTGGTATGATTTTCCGGCTGGTGAATCAAATGCCTCTGTTGCGCGGGGTGCTCTGCTGCTGCTGCCGCTGCTGCTATTTTTACACGGCGGCGGCGTGTAGTGCCTCGCCTCCGCTGCTCACTGCTGCCGCGCGCGCACGGCCCGCACATGCACGTGTGTGGAGCTCGTATGGGGAGGCGAAGGGGAGCGTGTTATATTGCGGGCCGCGCTAATTCTCGCGCCCGACCGGGGGCGCGCCCGTGAGCGACGAGGATTAAAAGAGAAAGCGAGCACCATCGATTCATTCGAAAACAAAATGGACAGTATATGGACATGGACATGACAATTTACAGTAAAAAATAAGTAAATTGAATTTCGAAAAGTGTAATCCACTCCCAATGCATTTTTTGTTTGACATATGAAAATCTGACATTGATGAATGTAAGTGTGACAAATTCATGTAACAGTTTCGACTCAGTTGTGGAATTGAGCGCACACTCACCACACCCTTTTCCCTTTTGACTGTCGCGAGGTGAGCTGGGTGGCTATGGTGGTTGCCGGCCGGTCCCCCGGAGCTGGTCCATAAGCTGGAGAGAGAGAGAGAGAGGATCCCCCGGGCGCGCGTGCATGCCGCCCCGCGACCAAAGTCAATTAATTTGGCTGCAAGTCCCCCGCCGCGCCACCCCTCTGGAATGCGCACGTATATGTGCGGTATTCGACGATTGCCCGTCTCAGTAAATGAAGCGCCCTATTACCCCGTTTGCGTGCCTGACCCCCCTCCCCTTCCCATTTCCTATTTCCTCCGTACATGTGGACGGCTATTTATTACGTTCTCCATATGCTGCTGCCTGCTACTGGATTTCGCGGAGGCGGTTTCTGTAAAAGGCGCGGTCCGGCAAAAATAAGTTTCTTGCCTTCCCTTGAAATGTTGTTTTCTAACGCTCCTCCACTTTTGTGTCTGTTCCAGGTGTGGTTCCAGAACCGGAGGGCCAAGTGGAGGAAGACGGAGAAGTGCTGGGGCCGGTCCACCATCATGGCCGAGTACGGGCTGTACGGCGCCATGGTCCGGCACTCGTTGCCGCTCCCGGACACCATCCTCAAGTCCGCCAAGGAGAACGAGTGCGTCGCGCCCTGGCTGCTCGGTCAGTACTAACAGCGCCCACCCCAGTGACCCCCCGGGCCACGCCACCTGCCCGACGGCTCGCGCCTCCGGAACGGTTAAACTAATTGGCTACTTGCCTTTGCCAGCAGGTATGCACCGCAAGTCGCTGGAGGCGGCTGAACACCTCAAGGACGACAGCGACCGGGAGGGCGAGAAGGAGGGCGACAAGGACGCCGACAAGGACGGCGAGGAGCACGACGAGGACCTCGACAAGAGCACGGACAAGAGCAGCGAGCTGACCAACGGCAGCGCGTCGCCCAGGTGCTCGTCGGGCGGGCCGCAGCTCGGCACGCCCCCGCACCTGGGGTCCCCGCGGGGCTCGGGGCCGCCGCCGCCGGAGCACGAGCTCCGCGGCGAGCACCGCGGCGAGCTCCGCGGCGAGCACCTCCACCACCACCAGCAGCACGCGCCGCCCCCGCAGCCACCGCCGCCCCCGAGCAGCACGAGCAGCAGCGTCAGCGTGAGCAGCGACTCGGAGACGCCCACCCCCACCCACCCCGCCGGCCCGGGGTCGCCGGTGAGCGGGTCCCCGGTGGGCGCCGCCGCGCAGCCCACGGCCGCCTCCGGGCCCGGGGGGCCAGCGGGGCCCGCGGGGCCGCAGCCCGGTCCGCCACAGGGCCTGCACCCGACCCGGGACGGTCGCGACCCCGACGAGTTCCGCAACAACAGCATCGCCTGCCTGCGCGCCAAGGCCCTGGAGCACAGCGCCAAGCTGCTGGGCATGACCTCGGCGGACGCGCTCATCATGACGTCCTCGCTGCTGGGCGCCGGCCGCGGGCCCCACCCCGCGCAGTCCGTTCTGCCGCCATGCGACGCCAACGCCAACTCGCTGGCGGGGGTCGGACATCCGCTGGACCACCTGCACCCCGCGGCCCACCTGCTGCACTACCCCCACCACGATGCGCACCCCCACCCCGCCTTCTGGCACCAGCCCACCAAGCAGGAGGCCAGCCCTTGACGGGCTGCCGGGGCGGCCGCGGCTGCCGGTGCCCGGGGGTGCTACCCTTACCCCTACCCCTGCCCGGGCCCGGAGCGCCACGCGTCGCAATGAGCTCGGCGACGAGGCGACAGGCGGGCTCGGACCACTGCCAGTCCCAACCTGGTTCAGGGACCCTGTGGGGGGCCCTAAAGTGAGGTTCGACAGCCGTGGCTGGGCTGGGCGGGCGGGCAGGGGAGATCGCTAGTCTGAGCAGGAGCCGTGTAAGGCTCGTGCAACATGCAAACCGTGTTAAGTTGTGTCGAGTTTTCAACCCCCATAGAGCGGGCCGAGGCGAGCCCCTCTGGTAGAGACGATGTGGGTGATCGCAGGGCGGATCTCGTGTGATGTGATAATGACTTGAACAGGCGCTCGGCGCACTGGTGCTGATAAGCTGTGTACATTTTTATTAAAGTTATCTTAATAATAAATTAACTAATTATTACTTGAGTAATGTATGAGCGTATGTTTGTATGTGTGTGTGTTGTGTATGTATCTATATGGATGTAAGTGTGTATGTATATGTATGGATATATTTAACATATTTAGAAAGTCATTTAGAGGCATCTAAGATGAATTTGTGACAAGTTCTTGTCATGCTGAAGCTGAAGGCAATTTTTACGTGAGTAATTAAAGCTGAGGATTTTGTACCAGAAAAAAACACGGTTCTGCCACTCTTGAAATCAAGCCTTGTAGCTTCACACCAGCAAAATTAGAAAATCCATTGATTACATGTTTTATAATTTCTGTAGGCTGCAGCATTTTGATTTGTAAAACTGCTTGGGCCTAAATGCTTTGCTGTTGTGTGTGTTGTGAGCTTCCAATTTTAATGTAAATTCTGATCAATTTATGGAGGAAGATTTTACATTAAACAAACCAGCTGGTCATGCATAAATTAAAATTGTCTGCCTTAATGTCTCATTATAAGTTTATCATGTATATTTTATTTTATGGTGCAATATTTAATTTAATTGGGTTAGCACCCTGGAGTGTAATCAATGAGATTGACCGTCATAACTATATTCTCATTTAATTGGAAGTTATTAGTTGAGGTAGAATGAATGTCGTGAGAGCAGAGGAATGCAGTAGGTTCATATAGGTTTATTAAAAAGGTACAAAACACCCACTGCTAAAGTCAAACTCTTTTAATCTTA